AAATTTTTTAATATGTGTAAAAACAACAAAAAAAATCACTTAAAGTGGAACGGAGGAAGTACAACCGTAAAGTTCAATTGTGAAGAGTATTTAATAACATTAATTATTAGAGTTACCGGACTAAATTTCTCAATTTCTCTCTTCAAAATGAGTAATAATTATGGAAAAATTTATAAAAAAAATTGTAATTAGTGACTTTTGATTTCTTAGAGCAATACTTAATTTGAATCAAATTTATTTGATTCAAATAGCATTTGAATAGATCTGGAACAGAGTAGTACATAAACTCTTAGGGGTCGTATGGTACATAAACTAAATTATTGGGATTATAATTTCGGTATTAATTTATATCACTTGAGATATGGGATAAAATGTTCCTACATTTAATGGGATAAGATAGGATAAATAGAATAAGATGTGGGATTAAATTTATATTTTATTTGGTTAGAGGTATAAGTTTATCTCAAAATAAATTTATACGTCCAACCAAACAAGATATAAATTTAATCCCATATCTTATTCCACCCAATCCCTTGTACCAAACGACCCCTTGAGGTGTAGGTAGGCACGCCAATATATAATATTACGCCATTCTTTTTTTCTAAATAAAAAGTTTCATCACCCATGTTACGTTCGTGGCAAATGTAATATGAGGGGCCCACGTTCACGCGTTTGAGAGCAAGTGGTCCCACTTCTTAGTTCACAATTTATCTTTTTGACTCCATATTTTCCCTTAGCATAACGGTCTATTGATTATTAGCTGTAAACCAAAAAATCCAATTCACAAATTTCTACAACAAGAAGTTATTTTTCTCCTTTATCTTTTCTTTCTTTTAGATAATTTGAATGAACTCATTCACAAGAATCAAAGATTTCAGGCCACGTGTACATATCCGCTAAGGTAATTCTAAAGTATAACAAGTTGCTTAGATCGATTAAGATTAAGTCATTTATATTAAGAAAAGAATATGAACAAAAACAATCAAAGTTTAATATTAAACAAATAATTTGGAGGCTCATTCGAGTTAACTCGAGTGCCACAACGCAATGGCTCATTTGAGTTGATTCGACTGCGACAACTCAATGCCTCAGCGTGCTAACTTTTGACTTGAACTACATATAAATTTTAAGTTTTTTATTTGGGTCATGTTTTTGTAATTTTCATTAGCTAATTCATTTTTACTTGGTTGTCTAAATCAACTTTTAAAATAATGGGAACATCTATAAAGATGAGATAGACATACATGCAATTTATGAGAATCCAAATGACTTGTAGTAAAAGTATGTTTAAACATATCGTACTTTCGACTAACTCTGTTGTTTGGTGCAATTAGATGTTTTTATGGTTTTCCATTAATTGTTTAGACAAATTTAAGCTAAATAAGCAGACTGAAATGGACAAGTTCACCAAATTATGAGAATAAAGTGATGGATTAAGGACAAAATCAACAAAGTATCATCAAACTTATTTGATGTTGGATTATTTGTATGAATTGGGCAATTGTCGCAGCCAAGGAATATTATAGATAGAGATTTCTAAAGCAAATTGCACATGAAAATGGACCGTAGCGAAGTGCACTACGCAAACAAAAAAGCTAAGGGACTAACGCATGTGGGAGAAACACTACTGCATGTTGCAGTTGTTGTCCAAAAGACAATATTCAAAGAATTAGGAAACAACAAAATATATATACATATTCATGTATTCTTTTTAGTTTCCTATATGGTATTTGATACATGTATTGGAGCCCGACTAAATATATAGATTTGAGTCGAAAAATTTTCATACTGAAGGATAATGCGCTCCATAATTAGAACAATTCCATACCCAGGACTCGAACCCAAATATATATATA